CCAAAACCCCAAAACCCCAAAACCCCAAAACCCCTAATCCCCAAAATTTTTAGTCCAATTCAATGATAATAAAGTGATAGATAATATAAATAAAATAATGGCAAAACCATATCACAAAATGATTTATAAAAATAAGTAATGAAAAAGATTTCTAAAATAAAACAAACTTAAAGCTGCAACATAATCCAAAATTTATGATATAGTCTTTGGAGATATGTAGCTGGTCCCACTTCATTCGCTAATTTGTAATTATTGACCAACTACCAAAATATTAAAATCAATGAATTTTACTCGTAATTGAATTGGTAATACCTTACATTAACTGCGACCTCAATTTAGTCACCACTAATTTGTTCACTGCTTTGAACTTGTTCACCTATAAAGTAGTAATTGTTAACCTCTATAATGAACAGTTGACAAAACTCATACGCGATGATAATTACTCATGGGAGAATAAATTAGCTTTATGAAACTTTACTGCAAATGAACTCAGATAGGTACTTTAGAATCCTCAATTCAGAATTAGATTCATTAAAGAATCAACTAGATATTTTTAATGATAAGGAGTTTAGAAAAACTAACACCATTCTAAAGAAATTAAGGAGAGCTAATCGTAGAGACTGGTAAGCACCGAGAGGAGATTATGATGGGAGTAAATTTATCTTAGCAGACTTTAGTTAAAGCAGTTTAGAATGAAGATATATTTACCAAATTAGGTAAGTTTCAGTAACAGTTGTCTCGCAGTTAAGTCAGATAATTTTGCAATGCTCTGTAAAAAGAAAACCTTGAAGTATAATCATACACGAAACTCTAGAAGTTAAATTATTCTTTGAGAGAAGTTGGCTAGAAAAGTTTTGGAGCTGGAGGAATCCAGATAAAGAAAGATTTTGATTTGCAAGATACTCTAAATGATCGGTATGCACAAGAGAATTCATTAATTATTGACCAATTTGCTTCTACTTGATAGCAATAAAGTAATTTAAAGAGGCTATGTTAGAGTTAAATAGAGAGTATGGTAATAAGTTTAACGAGGTTAATAAACCAGGACTAGATGTGACAAAAATTAGTGTTAAATAATTAGAAGGGGGCTGCCAAAGTATATTTATTGTATTCAATTAACTTCAATAATATAATAATTTATGATCCATATCTTATAAGATATCTAATTTACGGGGTTTTGGGGTTTTGGGG